GTGGGAGTGAGGGGTGGGGATGGGATGAGTGGAGGGGGGTAAGGGGGAAAAATTGAGACAACTGTAATAAAATAAACATGATTTTAAAATAAAAAATTAAAAAAGCAGGAACTGTAATAGTATAAACAACAGAAATAAAATTAAAAAGAGAAAAAATAACTATTAACAGTTTCATAGATATGTTGCAATTACTTTCCTATTCTATTATTTGTCCTTTAACTTTTTTTACATAAATATTACTGTAAGTTTTAAACATTTTTTACTTTAGCTTCTGGGTTTGAATATGTTACTTCAGGGTAAGAAAAATATTATGTTGTATATTCTCCGTAAACTTACATTTTACATAATGATTTTTAACTCACTTGAATATTTTTTTCTCAAAGAAATTCTTCTTTTTTTAAAATTAATTTATTTATTTTTCCAAATACATTTTTCCCTGCCTTCCCCCCACCACTTTCCTCTGTCCCCTCCTCTCTCTCCCTCCCTCAACCCTTCCTCACTTTGGTATTGTCCATGAGTTCTTGCTATATGTTCCTTGACCTGCCCCTTCCCATTCTTTTCCCCTGCCCGCCCCTCCCTCCTTCCCTCTTGTCTCTGTTGGTTTCTTTTTCTTTCAGGGCTGCTGGTTTTATTTTCCTTGCATCTTTCTTTTGTTGGTTAGGTTTCGCTTATAGGTGAGATCATATAGTATTTGTCTTTTGCCCCCTGGCTTATTTCGCTTAGCATAATGCTTTCTAGTTTCATCCATGCTGTCGCAAAGTTTAGTAGTTCTTTTTTACTTTCTGCTGTGTAGTATTCCATTGCGTAAATGCAGCATAATTTTTTGATCCAGTCATCTGCTGATGGACATTCAGGTTGCTTCCAACACTTGGCTATTGTAAATTGTGCTGCTATGAACATTGGGGTGCTTAGGTTCCTTTGAATTGGCGTTTTGGGATTCTTAGGGTATAGTCCCAGCAGGGGAATCACTGGACCAAAAGGCAGTTCCATTTTTAGCTTTATGAGGAAATTCCACACTGCTTTCCACAATGGCCGCACCAGTCTGCATTCCCACCAACAGTGTACTAGTGTTCCCTTTTCTCCACAGCCTTGCCAGCACCTGTTGTTGTTGATCTGTTTATGATGTCCATTCTGACTGGTGTGAGGTGGTATCTCATTATGGTTTTGATCTGCATTACTCTGATGGTTAGTGATGCCAAGCATCCTTTCAAATGTCTCTGGGCGCTCTGTATCTCTTCTTTGGAAAAGTGTCTGCCCAGGTCTTTTGCCCAGTTTTTAATTGGATCGTTTGTCTACTTGGAGTGGAGTTGCATGAGTTCTCTATATATTTTGGAGATCAAACCTCTATCTGATGTATCATTAGCAAATATGTTTTCCCATAAGGTTGGCTCCCTCTTCATTTTGCTGCTATTTTCTTTAGCCGTGCAGAAGTTTCTTATTTGGATGAGGTCCCACTTTTTATTCTTTCCTTTATGTCTCTTGCTTTAGGGGACATATCGGTGAAAATATTGCTGTGTAGGATATGAGAGTTTCCTTCCAATGTTCTCCTCTAGGACTTTTATGGTGTCGTGACTTATATTTAAGTCTTTTATCCATCTTGAGTTTATTTTTGAGTATGGTGTCAGCTGGTGATCAAATTTCAATTTTTGGCATGTAGCTGTCCAGCTCTCCCAACATCATTTGTTGAAGAGGCTATTTTTACTCCACTTTATGCCTCTGTCTCCTTTGTCAAATATTAGTTGCCCATATAGACCTGGGCTTATTTCTGAGCTTTCTATTCTGTTTCACTGGTCTATGGGTCTGATCTTGTGCCAGTGCCAGATTGTTTTGAGTATAGTAGCTTTATAGCATAGTTTGATATCTGGTATTGTGATCCCTCCTTACTTTGTTTTTCTGTCTCAAAATTGCTGAGGCTATTCAGGGTCATTTATGGTTCCATATAAATTTTTGAAATATCTGTTCTATTTCTGAGAAATATGTCATTGGTATCTTAATAGGGATTGCATTGAATCGATAAATTGCTTTGGGTAGTATGGACATTTTGATGATATTAATTCTTCCAATCCATGAGCACAGTATATGCTTCCATATATTTGTGTCTTCCTTAATTCTTTTTTCAATGTTGTATAGTTTTCAGCATACCAACTCCTCACTTCTTCTCTTGCTTGTTTGCTTGGAATATTTTTTTCTATCCCTTTACTTTCAATCTGTGTAGGTCTTTTGTTCTGAGGTGGATCTCTTGTAGGCAGCGTATGTGTGGGTCATGTTTTCTTATCCATTCAGCTATCCTGTGTCTTTTGATTGGGGCATTTAGTCCATTTACATTGAGAGTTATTACTGATAGAAACCTATTCATTTTTCCCCTTTGTACCTGTGTTTTTCTTTTTCTCATTCATTTTTTTCATCTTCTTAAACCAGTCCCTTTACATATCTTCTTGTGCTGGTTCGGTGGACACATATTCTTTTAGTCTTCCTTTATCTGGGAAACTCCTTATTTCTTCTGCTTCAATTGACCCATCTAGATTTCCTGACTTTGTGGATTAAACTTCCACGGTAGTAGGTGGGTCTTTTTATTTATTTGTGTTTACTTTTCTTTCTGAGTCGACCTCTGATGGTGTCAGTTGCTGACCCTATCTGAACTTGGGCCCTTTGTTTGAGCCTTTCAGGAATCTAATCCCTGTGTCTGTCTCCTGTGACTGTCAATCTGTTCATTCTGTCCTCATCTGTCAGGCTTAGGCCCCACAGGGCGGAGCGGTGCCTCCTGAGGGCGGGAGTATTGTCCCCTTTTAAGCTGCTGTCACTCAGGGGAATCGTCCGCCTGAGCAAGATGGAGATCATGGACTAGGGAAGAGAGAGCACCAGGACTCCCCAACACCTCTGTCTCCAGTCTCTCCTCGAGGGTCTCTGGGCAGCTCGGCCAGGGATCCACTATTTCTGTGGACCGCTCTGCACTCATGGGCCTGCATCAGGGTCGGCCAGTTCAATCAGCCATGCGGGTGCCGATTCACGCGTGCCCTCCCGGGTCTGTGCGCCCTCGCTGGCCCCATGGACTCTGGCCTGCTGGAGCCCTTGCCAGCCTGCGCGGTTTCGGGTCCACACATGCCCTCGCCAACCCTCGCAGGCCGCTCGTGTGTGTTCACACCTGCACTGGGTTGAATATTTTTTTTTTTTATAATGTGTGAAATAGGGCTCTATATTTGTTTTATTTCAAGTAATCTTGGTCTATGCACATTGCATGTTGAATAAACCTTATCTTCCCCTTTGATTTGAAATATCAATTTAATCATATATTACAGTTCAGAAAGATATATATGTTTGTTACTAGAATACTCATTTTATTTCATTGATCAATTTGATTATTTCTGTGTAGGTGTCATGACTGCTGAGACTTTATAATGGATTTAAATTTTTTAATACTTTATAATGGATATTGACATTTAAAAAAGTAAATAAAATCAATCTACATTAAAAAGAAAGAAAGAAGGAACTCATACCTTTTACAACAACATGGATGGAACTGGAGAATATTATACTAAGTGAAATAAGCCAGTCAGTGAAAAACAAATACCATATGATCTCATCTATAAGTGGAACTTATTCAACAAAATAAACTAACAAACAAAATAAACCACAGGCATGAAAACATGGAGTAGACTGAAGTAAGCAGAGGAGATGGGGAAAGAGGACCATGATATTAAGAAAGTTAAGGAACTAAGCAAAGGGCATGTATGAATGACCCATGGACATAGACCACAGAGTGGGAATTGACTATGGGAGAGGCAGGCAGGGTGGGACGGGTGGAGGAGGGCGAAGGGGGAATAATTGAGTCAAAAATAAAAAATAAAGATAAAATATAAATGAAATAAAATAAACAACAAAGTATTTATGATATCTTCACAACTCTGCTGGGAGGCAGGGCCTGTTCACGCATTTCACAGAAGTGGGTGCTAAGTTTTGGTAGTGGATTTTGTATGCTACACAGGCAAATGGCTCAGTGCTGGAGGAGGATGTGAGAAGACCTGATCCTAAACTCTAAATTGTTAGGGAAGATATATGTTATTAGGGAGAGAGTCAGCTTCTGTCCAGACCATCATCCTGACAATGAAGAATTATCCAAAAAGAAACAGTAAAGGAAACCATATTATAGATCTAATATGTACTTTTATGGGAGGATATTTAGGATATATTTCATATTATTAAGTAAGAAATCAGAACACCAAACAATATGCATATCTGATTCCATTTATGTTTAAAAGCATGCATCCCCATAGGCATTTTAAACCCCTGCAAAGAGTCATTTCAGACTGTTCACAGTATCTTTCTTAGGGGTAAGATTATGTGAGAGATTTTTATTTTTTACTTAACATATTTTTATTGTATTGTTTGGCATTTTTACAAGTTAGGTAGTCTATTCATAACTTTTGGAAAATTGTGGCAGGAAAATGGAAACAACTGTACTTAAACAATAAAAAAATAATTAAATTTAAAAAAAGACATAATTACACTTGAAGAGAATATTTGTCCAAAAATCAAATGAGGTACACTGTGAGGTAGTAAGCTTCCTGGGATAAGGGACATTCAGACAGGAGCTGGAAGAGCATGAAACAGAGGTTGTGATGGGGGATTGGACTCATCATCTCTGAGGTCCAGAGGCTCAACCTAAGACTCATCTTTTCAAAAGTCTTGCCTAGTGTCTGGGCAACCAGTGGGCTCAATGGCTGGTATGTGATTGGGCTTCTTGCTACTCTGAGTGGGGCCCTGTGTCTCTGAGCTACGTCTGCACAGTTTAAATGAGCCCCGAGGGTAACCTGATGTTTTGCCTCTCCTCCAGGACCACTGCCAAGCTGTGGGGACTGCTAGGAAGACAGTGGGTCATGTTTCTGCCATGTACTCCATACAGGGATTGAAGGGCAGGAAAGAAGAAGGGGAGGGAGCGATGATGTGGGGCATGCCACCTGTGTTGATAACCGCTGTTTTTCTTCCTGCCCTGCAGGACAGTCATGGAGCTGCTCTGGATATCTCTGCTGCTGGGGGCCTTTTGTGTCTCTGCAGTCCTGGACTTGCCAGAGCACAGCATCAAGGAGAACATCAACATCAACCTGTCCCAGCCCTTGCACATCATGGAGGAAGGCAACCTGATGGTGCTGACACCTGCTGGCCTGACTCAGATGCTCAACCAGACCCGCTTCCTCATGGTGCTTTTTCGTGAGTGTTCCCCAATCCTTGGGGGGTGGGTGATGAGTCAGGTGAGACCTGCATCCTTGCTCCTGGAAGACAGAGAATTTTTATATATTGCTAAACATATAAGAACATATATTGTTAATATTTTAAAAAATAATGTGTATATACCACCATTCCCACCTTCCAGATGTGAATACAAGTCCAGGGAGGTTAGACAACTTGCAAGATATTGTAGTATGTTGCCACTATAGTTTTGATTTGTATGTGGCTCTTCTGTCCCACTGAAGACAAGGAATCAGGCTTTACCTTCAGTTGTTCTTCACATTCTGAACCTTGGTCATTTTTTCTTCTGTAAAATGGCCATGAAGATAATGACTGTACGAGATTGTTATTAAGGTTAAATGAGATAATATGTTAAGCTGCTGGAACACAGCCATAAATGATGTGCAGAGGATGAGAGCAATAAATGATGATGAGAGCAATAAATGATGGCAGCTATGGACAGGCTCTCAAGAGAGTTTAGACCATTATCTTTATTATCTGAACTGCATGGCCACTCTTACCTTTTGGGCTCTTGTCCTTTGCATGAACAGACATTCTTGGGGAGAGAACAGTCCTCCTTTTCGAGAGACACTGACCCACAGCTGTGCATGGGGACGGGGTGGAAGGTATTTACATGACAGCTCTCACTATGAGAGACCATAGTGCCTCTCTTTGTGTCTTCCTTTGTGTCACTGTCTTTAGTGCCTGATTAAATGCTAAATCTCTTAACCCTCACAGCATCCCAGTGTGATGGAACTATACATCTCCTTATTTTATAGCTGAGGAAACAGAAGTTCAGAAAGGTCAAGTGATTTGCATGACATCACACAGCTCATAAGTAAGGAATGAAGACCTTGGGTTCTAACACTTCCCATGTTCAAAAATTGGAATGATGCAGAAAGTAGATGTGCATATATTTGATTCCAGAATCTTGCCTTCAGAGCTACTTCTGGGAAGTAGCTGGTTCCATTTCAATCCCCAAGACCCACTTCCAGGATGGGCCAGGCCTGCCAGTAACCACCCAATTTCCCAGAGAGTAGTCAGTGCCCAAGTTTCCAGAATTAAGTAGGGTTATGCAGGGCAAGTGCCTTTCACCTCTTGGTTTCTGCCTCTTCCCATGCAGCCTCCCACCCATATTCCTCTTTCTCCCTCCTCTCAGCTGCTGTGCATATGCAGTCTCCCTCTCCCACTATTGGCTCTCCTCTAACCATAACCCTTTAAAGAGTTTCTACTAACTCCAGTCTGACCAGTGAGTGTAATTGGAAAAAGCTGGCTTTAGAGCATCACAGTACTATGCTCAAATGCTGGGCTCTGCCACTTACTAATGAGGTGACCTTGGGCATGTGAACTTGATTACTCTGTGAGCCTTTATTTACGTGAGCACAGTGCCTGGTGCATAATAAGAGCTTCAGAATATATTGCCTGCCATTCTCTTTATTCTCATTACTGGCTTCCTTGTCTCTACAAAAGGGTCAGTAATTTCTGCCTTACAGGTTGTTGGGGTGATGGAAATGGGTTCAGATATAGTCATTAGTTCCTAGTGAGCACTCATTAGGCAGAGATATTACTGTTGAGTTCTTATTTGCCCCACTTTCACACAGTTCTGCTTTGTGCCAGGCCCTGGGTGGGCTCTGTGGGGGTGCCAAAAGAAAAAGGCCTTGGTTTCTGCTCTCAAAGACTTTATAGTTTAAGCTAGAAATATCATGGGCATGAGAAGCTCTTTAAAATGTTATTCATGCCATTAGAATAGTCCAAACTCTATACTTTGGGTGCCCTAAGGAAAAGCGACAACTTGGACATGTCCTTGAAATGGCTCTTCCAACTGCAAATCCACGGAGCAGTCTTCTGTGGCTTGGTTCCTGTACCCTTGTGTCTTCACATGCACAAGGGCTTCCCAGGCTGATGCAAATGCATCTTGATGTTTGGAGTTTGGCTTCAAGTGAGAGGAATTCTTGTTATTTGGCTTCCCAGTGATGACCAGTGATGGAGGATATTCAGCCAGAGCTGTGGGATCAGCAGAAGTCTTTGGACTCTATGATTGCTGATGCCCAAGTTTACCAAAGACCCTATTCCAAAGCACTGGTAAACCCAAAGAGTTTCTCTTAAACTGAGTCATCCACACACTTTGGTCCTTAAGTGACATCAAGGTTTGGTATAAAGGACATGGGTTTAAGAGTCAGACCAGCCTGAGTGTGAATGAAGCTCTATTCTGCCAAGAACTAGATGTTGATATGTGGCCTTGGATACATATTTGTGTCTCACTTTCTTCATCTGTAAAGTGGAAATAATGAAACTGGTAGAGTCGTTATAGGGATCAGCTGAGAGTGTCTGGAAGGACTTGGCACTCAGGAAACATGAAAACATGAAAGGTAACATGGAAGGTGCTCAGGAAACATGAGCTCCCATTCTCCCCTGACCCTGTGGAATGTGAACAGATGCAACTCATAACTTCTTGTCAGTGATAGCTGAGTTCAGCTTCAAGTAATAATGAATCTGCTAATAACGGCTTAAATTCGAGAGTTTATCTCATAACCTATGTGGGCCCTAGATAGGTGGTCAATGACTAGCATAGCAGCTCCGCAGTGTCAAAGACCCAGTCTTCTTGTACCTTCTTGTCCCTTTATCCTTGGCATGTTGTAGCTCAGGGTCACCAGATGGCCATGGCACCTCTTGCATTGCATCGCACATCTAGCTAGGAAAAAAATGGGACAGGCAAAGAGCAAAGGGACAGATATGTACCAGCCAAGAATGTTCCTAAAAAAAAAAAAAAAAAACACTTTTCCAGAAGCCCCACAGGTGACTTTGGTTATATCTTATTGGTTAAGGCCCAGGGTTGTTCCCTACTGAGGTGTCTGGAATAGTGAATGGTTTAGGTTTCCAACCTCTATGGTTGAAAAAGCAAGGGGAAAAGATGGCTGTGAATGGCTGATTCACAATGTTTACCACAATATCCAAGGTTGTAGGGTAACTTGAATACACAATTGTCTTGTTAGCACTTTACGTATTGTAGGTTTATAATGCTAGAGAAGTCCTTTAAAAAATGAATTCTAAAATTGATTGCCCACTTTTACACTCAAACTCCTTGTTCTGATTCTGATCAGATATTTTAAAGAACACTGCAATAGCAGGGAAAGCTAAACTTTATAACCCCTCAAACCCAGGTTCATAACTTTTCATTTCATGCTTATATCTTAGTTTTATGCAGGTCTGCAGAGGAGATGTGCTCCATACAGTCATTCAAGCACCCAGGATCCTCCCATCAAGTAACTCAAGCATGACTTAGGGCCAAGAGTACTTCACTGAATCCTCTGTCCAGCCAGCAAAAGGAGAGGGAGAAAGAGCACATGCTTCAGGACCAGGCCAGACCTGAAAATGGTGTACATCAGTGCTACTCAAAGTGTGGCCCATGGACCAAGAGTATCAGCATCACTGAGGAGCTCACTAAAATGCAGAATCTCAGGTCTCACCCCAGACCTACTGAATCTGAATCTGCATTTAATGAGATCACAGGTGATTAGCATATGCCATACATCATGAGAAACACTGTTATACATCATTTGTACCCACATTCGATTGGCCACATCTCTGCCCTTGGCCATACCTATCTGAACAGGAGGCTGCGGAAATGTAGTCTAGCAGTATAAATGGAGAGGAAAAAACTTGGTTTGCGGAACATGTGATGTTGTCTTCCTTAATCTATGTGTGCCTACTTTTTGACATAGAAAACTTGAAATGGCCTTTGGTCAAAAATAACCTAAAGCTGGCATGGCTGAGAAACACACTAGTGATATAAGGGCTTCCTGGTGTGAACCAGGAAAGTTTATCTTATGGGCAGAAAAGTCAGGATCTATTCTGGACCTTGCTTGGCTCAAGCTAACATTCTGAGGGCATCTGGCTCCCAAATCCAGGGGTCACTTGCTGCTCCTCACCTTCCTTGACCTCTTTGCAGCCCCATGCTAAGACCTTATGCCCCCTGGTGCCCATGAGCCCATTATATTCTGGTTCCCTATGATCTCTCTGGCTCACTTTCTTATTTCTCCTTCATGTCTCTTCTTCTTTCCTGTAAACCTGAAATCAAGACTGTAATAGGTAAATCATGGTCTGAAGATGACCAGCAGGTGGGTTATATTTAGCCCACATAGTGTTTTAAAAATTGGAAGATTTCACAATTAAAATTGAATTTATATTTGTTCTTGGAAAAAAAAAAAAAACAACAGAGGATCTGGAAGCACTAGCTCATATTCTTGCACTATGACAATTGGGAGAAAACTTGCCTGTCAGTTTGCCACATCCCTAGCCAGCCAACCCCACACAGACATACACCTATCTCAAATTAGAGTTTGTATCCCCTGTCTGAAATTCAGGCCTCCCAGTTTTTTCTCAATCTCTGTCTCTTCTCTTATACATTCTCTCTGAGTGATGCCACTTTCATGGGGAACTTTGAGTAAGTTACAGTATCAGCAACTCAGTTGCCCTTGTCCCAGTGCCTCCTCAGTGATCTTGTACAACGATGTCATAACCTACTCTGCTTCTTGTGGAATTGTGAGCTAATGGTTTACACAAGTCAGGTGTCCAAGCCATCTTCTCCATTTTATTATGGTTCTAATCTCTGAATCCTGGGCCCTCAGTAGAGTTGTTGAAGAATTTAGAGAAATTCATATATTTTTGCATGACACAACATACATCTAAACACATTTTTACCCTTCCAAAATGGCATAGCAGGTGAACAGGACTAGGGAACACATCTGGTCCACATGAGAATGCAAGTCTACTATATTTTAAGCAGGACAGAAGGGCAAGTTCATGACTCTTTGGGGCTTTAACTGACCTTTAATCACCTAAAGATTGACACTGAACCTGGGGCTACATAGAGAGTCAATCAATTTTATATTCTTTAATTATTTTTGAAAACAATCAATTTGATTATTTTTAAACTTAAAGCATTCCCACCAGTGGGTATTTCCAAGCAGTGAATACCAGCA